AATTATAATAGAAGCTTTGGAAAGGAGATTCGGACGACCAGAAGCGTTAATTCACTTGGAAATAGAGAAGCTGAAGCTGCTGAACAAAGTTACGGACAATCCCAGGGAGCTATGCATATTCGCAAATCGCATAGCGAACGTAGTGGGCACCGTGGAAGCACTCAAGAAAGCACACTATCTGCATAGTCCAGAAATGACGCGAGTTATCACAGACAAACTCACGCCCATATTGAAAAGCAAATGGTACGACTATGCAGCCAGAAAGAAAGAAGATATCCCAGAGCTTAAGAAGATATCAATGTTCTTAAACGAAGAAGCGGATAAATGCAGCGCGTATGCCTTGCCGGAGTTCATCGCAGAGGACAGCGAAACGAGAGAGCGAAGACCGAGAAAAATAGAACGTGCCTTCGCCACAAGCAAGAAACCATATGAAGAACGCTGCCCTCAATGCAAACAAGAACACAAACTGCCCGATTGCAAGTCATACGCCGCTCTGTCCACAAATGACAGATGGGAAGTAGCAAAGAAGTACAATATCTGCTACCGCTGTCTGCGAGGCAAACATCGTCGATTACTGTGCAAAGCTCCACCGTGCGGAAAAGGCGGATGCATGATGAAACACCATAAATTGTTGCATCACGACAGAACAGCAGTAATGGAAAAAGAACCCGCTATGGAAACCGCAACATCGGCAAAGGAGGTCAACACAGCGACTCGACCGTACAAGCACCGCCGCGCTTACCTAAAGATTGCGCCCGTAACAATAAGGGGGCCGCTAAGCTGCGTCGAAACATACGCATTATTGGATGAAGGGAGCACGGTCACCTTAGTCGATGCCTCAATCGCCGACGTCATCGGCGCCGACGGCCCAGCCCACACAATGTGGATACAAGGGGTCGGCTCGGAGGTGAAACACGAGAAGAGCAAGATCGTCAGCTTTAAAATAAGAGGAACGTACGCGCAAGAAGAACACAACATAGAAGCAGCGCGTACTGTAGAGCGGTTGGACTTCGCGCCAGAATCCGTGAATGAAGATCACTTGGGGAATTGCCCACATCTGTTGGATATCAAAGAGGATATCACCTACGAACGCGCCTCACCGAAAGTACTAATCGGGCAAGATAACTGGCACCTCATAGTGTCTAGAAAACTGCGCGTCGGCCGTCGAGACCAACCAGTCGCCTCATACACCAACCTGGGCTGGGTTCTGCATGGCTGTCATAGCTCATTGACGTCGACGGTCACCTTCTGCGGCAGACTACATCAGAGGGAAGATGCACCACCGATAGAAGAAGAAATAAAAAATTATTTCAAATTGGAGTCGCTGTGCATCGAGCCGAGAAGACCGAAAGAAGATCCCGAGCAGCGAGCCATGCAAATATTGGACGAAACCAGCCAGAGGTCAGCGGACGGCAGCGTTAACATATCATTGGCCGCCGCCAAGAGCCGCGTAACACCACTGAAACCAGTTTCCATACCACGGCTCGAGTTACAAGCGGCACTGCTGGGAGCTCGTCTTGCGCAGACCGTGATCGATGAACACGATGGCGACATAGCAGGCAAGACATACTGGTGCGACTCTCGTACTGCACTGGTGTGGATAAGATCGGAGCCTCGCGCGTACAAAGCTTTCGTCGCTCATCGCCTGGCGGAGATAGAAGATACGACCAAAAAGAACGAATGGCGTTGGCTACCGTCTAAAGAAAACGTGGCAGACGACGCAACCCGAGCCACACCAGAAGGGTTCGACGAGTCGCACCGATGGTTCCGAGGGCCCCCGTTTCTGCAGCGTCCACCGGCAGAATGGCCGCAGGAAGAGAAAACGACACAATATGACACCGGGGAAGAGCGAGAAATATGTAACATCGCTGTTAAAAGTGAAGACTCGACAACAACACATCTTCCACAGATAGGAAGATTTTCTAAATGGATTCGGCTCATAAGGGCGACAGCGAGAGTCCTCCTATTCATCGACATGTGCAGACCAAACAAGCACGTAGTGAAGGCTGGGCGTAAACGCAACAAAGCAAGACAAGGTAGCGACCCTGGCTGGCAGAGAACAAACAAACGCAACACCCCCGCCAAGGAGAAAAAGGCGACTCCTACTGCCTCATCGCTTGTAGGAATACCGGCCGCTTATCATATGAGAGCCGAACAACTGTGGGTGCAAGCCAGTCAGCGGGAAAGCTTCACGAAGGAGCTCAAGAGAATCACCAGCGGAAGTGTTCCGGGAGGCGACGACAAACTAGGCCACCTGAGCACATACATTGATGAAGAGGGGACCCTACGCCTCAGAGGTCGAATAAAAGCGGCATCAGAAGTGGAGGACGACATGTACGACCCTCCCATATTAGACGGGAAGCACGCATACACTCGCCTGTACATAGCACACGTACACGAGAGGCTGCATCACGGAGGCGTAGAAACAGTTGTGAATGAATTAAGACAGAGATTGTACGTAAGAAAAATACGTCCAGTAGTGAAAACTGTCGTCAAAGGATGCCTGCCGTGCCGTCTAAGAAAAGCCAAGCCTGCATCACCGTCTACAGGAAACCTGCCGTCCGCACGCCTCGCTCATCACGCACGTCCGTTCACATACACCGGACTAGATTACTTCGGGCCAATAGAAGTCACAGTGGGACGACATCGCGAAAAGCGCTATGGCGCGTTATTTACCTGCATGACGTCGCGAGCAATACACATAGAAGTAGCCCACTCGTTGAGCGCAGACTCAGCCGTGTCGGCACTTAGGCGTTTTATGAGCAGAAGAGGATGCCCAAAAGAAATATGGAGTGACAACGCTACGTGCTTCAAGGCAGCAGACAAGGAGATGGCCGAAGCAGCACTTGCAGCCCTCGAGCACGAAACCACGTGTCAACAGATTGTGTGGAAGTACATACCGCCATCAGCACCGTTCATGGGCGGCATATGGGAGCGAATGGTTCGCTCCGTAAAAGAAGCCCTACGCGTCACCCTCAACGAGCGCTATCCCAGCGACGAAACATTGGGGACCCTGCTCGCCGAGGTCGAAAATACTGTAAACTCCAGACCTCTCACACACGTCTCAGTCGACCCAGGAGACCCTGAAGCCATCACGCCGAATCACATCCTCATCGGTCCCAACTCGCACGTACCTGCGCCGGGACACTTCAGCAAGAATGACGTGACGGCCCGCCAGCAATGGAAACGAGCTCAAGCCCTAGCCGACGTGTTTTGGAGAAGATGGGTTAAAGAATACCTGCCCCTACTCCAACACCGGCGGGAGCCCAGCAGCATAGGAGTATCGCCGAAGATTGGAGACCTAGTCATCATTTGTGACTCCAATCTACCACGCAACACCTGGCCCAGAGGGAAAATAAGTAAGGTATATCCTGGCGTCGACGGAGAGGTACGAGTAGTGGACGTAACCACCGGCAGTGGGCACATACTAAGAAGACCAACGAAGAAGATCGTCGTGCTACCAGAGGGATCGCAGCGTGGCGACGGCGGGAGAATGTGCACGACGCAACAATATTAAACAAACGAAAGAAAATGCTTATTGTAACCGGCGCTAGTTGAACAACCTAGGAGCGGTGGGCGGAGCCAGGACGACGGTGTAATTATCAGGCCACGCCTCTGGTTCGACAACTAGCAAGGGTTATACGGCGGAACTAGCGCAACCTTATGTTGAATTTAAATTATAATTTGTGTAAATAATTGTATTACTTGTATCGAACGATAAAAAATAATGATTGTATTATAACTAAGTTTAAGGTTGAGTTGTAACTGTGCAATAACTCTCCCAAATAAAGGCACCGTATGAACAGGGAGAGTTAGCATAGTCTTCTAATGAAAACTATAATTGTTAAATATAATAAATGTTTACTTTATTATATAATAAATATATTAGGCCGTTAGGCACATAAAAAAAATAGTAGTAGTGTAACCAAAGAGCATGTTATCGTGACGCGGCCGAGGAGCAAATGAAGCCACGCGCACCGCGCCACGACGTTTTATATTTATAGTGCTGAGGCGGGGGGAAGGATTCTCCGCCTAAAGCAGCTGAAAATTATAATGTAAACCTGTAAATAAGTAAAAATATTGATATGTACACCCTAGTCTAACAAGTAGTTATAAGAATATTATATAGTGAATTATGTTTATTAGTTTGTAAGGTTATTAAATAAATAAAGATAGGCGCGGGGGTGAGGCAAGGGTCCGCTGGCCAGCAGCGGCCAAATCATATAAAAGACGGGCCGGCCGCTAGGGTCAGCAGTCGCTCTCCAGCCACCGAAAAGGCACCAGCAAGAAAAGAAAAAGTACAAGTTCCTCCTCACCGCCGCTTGCCTCCAGTTAAAAGCAAGACCAGCGCGTTTTATTCCATTTTTCGCACGGCATTACGGCGATCCGTAATAATCACCATCGCGTTCACGTTAGACGTAAAACACCCACATCGGTAACTGGCAGCAGTGTCAAATTTGCAAGATATCTGGTTCTGCAATTGTCAATGGAATTGCCACACATGACCTTTGGAATAATTTCTATAACGAGAAAGGCCTATGTTGAGCAGTGAACTTTTAAGTGCCGATAAAGAAAAAAAAAAGAAGATAAAAAACCCATTCATAATTATAGGCTAGGGAATTGCTCTTCTTAACTATCCTTTTAATGTGATAGAACCATGCGGCAATTATGTTATGGGTGCAGCACAAATGGGTTGGTTCGACTGGGGAAGAACCATGCACTCGCAGATCACCAGCGTAAAATATCCGCATTATGTGACTAGTTTGTACTGTGTTTCGTATGATGAGTGTAGAGAACCAGAAACCCATTTTACTAATAAAACGTCTATATTTTGATTCAAAATATAGAATAGATGTAGGTGTTATTAAGCTATGGCATACATTTATTATTAGGTAGACTGTGGGATTGTTTGTCACCCTAATTCTATAAAAAAAACCTGCGTGGTGAGTTTAACGACTAAGATTGGCCGTATTATAGATGTTATTTCTAACATATTACAGAACACCAAAGGAGATCTTATGTAAGCACGTACGTAACAAATGGGTACCGGCAGAGTATCCCGCTTCCATTCAGCGCATGCAGGAGTGGACACCGGATGAGTGCATACCGGAGTTCTACACTGACCCAACTGTCTTCAAGAGCATACACGAGGACCTGCCGGTAATATTCCAAATGATTATAGATAAGCATAATAATGGTACAACCACGCTGCGGCGGATTATGGCTATAGTATGAGTGGGTAAGCTCGACTAGGGAAGGACCGCTCTTGCACAGAATAAGAACATTAAATAGAAACATAATGGTGCTGTTTCGTATGCCGAGTGACGAAAGGTAGAGACCCATTTAAATGGTTACGAGGCTTTCCATCTCAATCCCCATAAATTACCGCGCATTTGCATTTTGATTCCTAATCGACGATAGATGTGTAAACTGGTATGTACCCTTACTCCTTTAAAAAAACTAATAAAATAAAAAATTGTGTTGTTGTAAATAATATACACAACTAGTATTCCGCCCGGGATTCGCTCGAGTGATTTATGTATCTCGACAACAGCGCCACCTACCTGGTCACTTAAACACAAAAACTTCATAAAAATCGGTCTAGACGTCTAGGAGGAGTTATACGCCCGTACAGGAGAATTATATATGTATACGTGCGTGCGTGCGTGCGTGCGTGCGTACGTGCGTGCGTGGGGAGGTTAAAAAGTTCGTGGAATGGCGGGGTTGGCGAGGCTGAGTTTACTCATCCAGGTACGCGCTAGTTGAAAGACTCATTGTTAGCATATATACCAAGTGTCAGCCTAATCGGGTCATTAGCTTTTGAGTTATCATCGAGTAAACAAGTCAATCGGGAAGAAAATAGCCACTATGGAGAAAATTGAATATCGCGCCGTCATTAAGTTTCTCACCAAACATGGAAAGACAAAAAACCATTTTTCAAAATATGTCAGCTGTTTATGGGGACTCCGCTCCTGGGAAAACCATGATTTATAAATGGCACACCCTTTTTAACCAAGGGAGGGACTCCATTGAAGACGACCCCTGACCTGGGCGGTCGATTGAGGCTACCACGCCAGAAATAATCGCAATAGTTGAAAAACTTGTATCGGAAGATGCCCGGCTAAAGAAAAACAGCTTGTAGCATTAGTTGGAGTATCAGAAACAACCATTTTAAACATCCTACATCAACACCTTGGCATGACTAAAGTATGTGCAAGATGGGTTCTGCGAATGCTTTCTGCGCATCAAAAACACGAGTGCGTCGAAAGTTGTCGCGAGTTTTTGGACCGCTGTGGAGAGCAAAGGGAGGAAGAAGTTGTCGCGAGTTTTTGGACCGCTGTGGAGAGCAAAGGGAGGAAGTTATGGCACGAATTGTAACTGGCGATGAAACTTGTGTTCACTATTATGAACCTGAGTGAAAGCAAGAGTCAATGCAGTGGCATAAAAAAGGCACACACCTAAGAAGTATAAGGTGTCTCAATCAGCCGGAAAGATCATGGTGACGATCTTTTGGGATACAGAAGGTATCTTTTTGATTGGTATAAGGATGGGAGAATACTACGCTTCTTTACTTGGTCAATTAAAAGAAGCTATTAAAGAAAAAAGGCGAGGAAAGCTTACAAAAGATGTGCTCCTTTTGCACGACAATGCGCCCGTGCACACAAGCCATGTTGCATGTGCATGACTGCCATTCACCGGTGCGGTTTTGAACAACTGCGCCACCCACCCTACAGCCCAGATCTGGCCCCAAGCGACTATTATTTGTTTCCAAAAATGAAGAAAGAACTACGTGGGAAATAATTTGGCGACGGTGATGAAGTGAAGTCGGCAATTTCGGCCTATTTTGACACCCAACACAAATTAGAAATAGCTTGGTAGCGATCACCTCATTCCCAGGGGTTATTATCATCCATAAATTCCTTAATATTATAATAACCCTTTTTATACAAACTTTGCTTAATAAAGTTTTTGAACTTTGAGCTGGTCAAAATTTTAAAAAATTTGCAGATGAGATTTAGATTATATTAAGACAGAATTTGAAATGAGAAGGTTCAGAATAAGTAATATAGGCAAATGGTGAAGAAAAATTAATTAATAAAATTTCTAACATTCTGTCCTTTTTATCTTTTAAATTTAAAATGCGTGATAATGCATTATTTTAACTGATTTTACTGCGCACGCACGCATTCGTAAGGGTCGACCGGTAGGCAAAAACGTTGTTGCCCATAAATCACATTTAGTTTAGGATAATTTCAAATAAAAGTAGAAGCTTTTACTCGTATTTTCAAAAACTGCAATAACTGTATATCATTATTTATATATTTGAACTTAAATAATTTAAAATTTGGCTACTCTTTGTACCCTGTATATACAACTTTTAATGCAGGATCTAGGTCTACCATCATGGGCCACTTGCGCCGAGGACTTTATAACCAAACACAGGGAAGCGTTAGAGAGCGCCCACGTATCGGAAAACTTGCACCACTGGATCGACATCACTTTTGGGTACAAGTAAGTCGGAACTCTCTTTTAAACAATATTCATTTTAAATACAAATTGTTTTCAACTTGTTAAGTGCAACACCTGTATGTCCCGTTAGTAATCGATCATCTTGCAACTGCCGCCTACATACATCCCTGGGAAAAACCTCCACTCATTTCTGTGAGGGTTTACGTTTAGGGGTAAAAGGAGAATCTTAGTATCATACATTATTTGCAAGACACTCTTGATATTTCATTCTACAATGAAATGGGTGGGTAAACTTTATAAAATAAACCAACGCCATTTGAAATGCCACAAAATAATGATGTAAAAATTTATAATGGCATTTCTTTGTGAAAAAGGGTGTAGGATTGTTCTTCTGGCTAGTAGTCTATCCAAGTTGTACACCTATTTCTGCCGGTAAGTAGCAGTGCGCCCAACTGCCATGTTCCGTACCGCAGCATCACATCACCATACGAAATACAGAAACTATACTACTAATATAGTTGCAGCATCGCTCTACCACATAAATTGAAGAAGTTGATTGCAGATTTCCAATTACCATTAAAAGACTTTCATGGCTGTTCAAAGGTAACAAACGAGCACATAGTCCACCTGATGGTAAGGGGTTGCTGCGGCCCATAGAGATCTACATCTATTCTCTATTACGAATCAAAGTGCAGATGCGTTGTCACCCGTGAGGACTAAGATGCAATGCCTCGTTTCCAGTATAAGGGTCTCCGATTCTCTACACTCACTATACGAAACACAGCAGCGTTAAGCTGCTATTTTACGCTGGTATTCTGTGAGGGCATGGTTCTTCCCCGGTCGAGCCGACCCATTCGTGCCTCAACTATACTAGTAATATAGTTGCAGCATGGCTCTACCACGTAAATTAAATAAGTTGATTACAGATTTCCAATCACCATTATAAGAGTTTCATGGCTGTTAATATTAAGTCATAAATAAAATCAAATAAACCGTTTAGTGGCGGTGTAAAAATATCCACTACTCCATATCGTCCCGTGGTGTCGTAAGAAGCAATGGAGGGAAACTGAAACAGGAGATGGGCAGCAGCATCTTCCTGATAACAACTTAAAATAAGTTTTTAACGGGGGTAGAGCCACGCAGCAGTTTTTGCTGTTGCATGTATGGGCCGGCTCGAGCCGGGTTGGTACCACGACCTCACAGAATACCGGCGTGAAGTAGAAGCTTTGCTTCTGCGTTTCGTCTGGTGAGTGCAGGTGGCCGGAGGCCCAATCCCCCCCCCCCCCATCAACATGGTAGCGGAATTACACGAAGAACTACCCCAGGAGGGTACCGGCACCCCTGGAGAATCCCTCGCTGAGCATCCACGACCATGTTATTCCGATCCTGAGCGTGGGTGCTCAGGCTGCCCCGCGTATTCTGGGGGGGGGGGGGGGGGGCAAAATTCCGCTCAAAAGCATTACTGCTAGGGGCAAACTGAGCAAGAACACCAAGGCGACCCCTGCCACGCTATCCGTGAATTTCTGCAACATCAGGGGACTTCACTCTAACCTAAACGCCGTCCACTACCATCTCGAGACGGCGAAGCCGGCCTTGCTCTTTCTGACCGAGACGCAGGTTTCCTTTCCGGCTGATATTTCGTATCTCTCCTACCCGGGGTACAAATTGGAGCATTCCTTTGTGCCTCGGGCTGGAGTTTGCGTGTATGTCAGAGAGGACATCTGTTCTCGACGCCTCGGCAGTCTTGAAGGTTCGGACCTGTCCATCCTTTGGCTACGCGTAGACAGCGACGACCATCCGCGCGTCTACGGGTGCCTCTATAGGTCCCATAGCGGTAATGCCGAAACAGACCGACTCATCGACCACGTCCAAATGGCTACAGATTTCTTGCTACAACAGGTCCCATCCGCAGAGATCGTGATCCTTGGCGATTTTAACGCCCACCATGCCGAATGGCTCGGTTCACGTCTAACTGATCATGCGGGGAGATCTGTTTATGACTTTGCCTTGGCATATGGTCTGACACAACTGGTTACTTCGCCTACGCGGATTCCAGATGTGGAGGATCATACACCTTCCCTGTTGGACCTTCTGCTGACCTCTCATCCGGACGGATATCAGGTTTCCGTCGATGCCCCTCTCGGCTCTTCGGACCATTGTCTGATCCGGAGTGTGGTGCCACTCACGCTCCCTTGCAGGTTGCCGCCGTGTTTGGCATTACAGGTCGGCGGATTGGGACGGAATGCGGTCCTTCTTTGCATCCTACCCATGGGGGCGGGTTTGCTTCTCGCCGGATGATCCCAGCGCTGTTGCTGACTCTGTCACTGATGTGGTGCTACAGGGAATGGAACTATTTATTCCATCATCTGTGGTACCCATCGGAGGCAGAGCTCAGCCTTGGTTTGGTCGCTCCTGTAAGACTGCATTACGCAGTAAGCAGGAGTGTTATCAAGCCTGGGCTGCGGCTTCGGCGACTCGGGATGTAAATACCAGCACACTTAAAAAGAAGTATAACTTCGCCTCCAGGTCCTTCAAAAGAGTTATTGCCAAGGCAAAGTCAGAGCACATAGGCAGAATTGGCGAGAAACTAGTTCGCCTTCCTTCGGGAACCCGTGCATTCTGGTCTCTCGCCAAGGCTGTCCAAGGGAATTTCTGTAAGCCATCACTACCATCTCTGCACAGGGAGGATGACTCACTGGCCCATGACGCAAAAGACAAAGCCGACCTTTTAGGCTCCCTTTTTGCGTCCAACTCGACTCTTGATGACGGGGGGAAAACACCGCCGACCATCCCGCGGTGTGAGTGCTCCATGCCGGATGTGCTGTTCTCACAGCGCTCGGTTCGCAAAGCACTGCTTTCCCTGGACATCCAGAAGTCGAGTGGGCCTGACGGAATCCCCCCAATTGTGCTGAGGACGTGTGCTCCGGAGTTGGCACCGGTCCTAACACGTCTTTTCCGGTACTCCTACTCCCAAGGCGTAGTCCCGAATTCATGGAAGACAGCTTTTGTCCACCCGATCCCCAAAAAAGGCGATCGCTCAGACCCGTCCAACTATAGGGGTATCGCGATCACCTCCTTGTTCTCCAAAATAATGGAATCCATTATTAACTGCCAGCTCATCCGGTACCTTGAGGATCACCAGCTGATTAGTGACCGCCAATACGGTTTTCGTCGGGGTCGATCAGCTGGTGATCTTCTGGTCTACCTGACCCATAGATGGGCGGAGGCAGTAGAGTCCAAGGGGGAGGCGTTGGCCGTTAGTCTGGACATTGCGAAGGCCTTCGATCGGGTTTGACACAAAGCGCTTTTTTCGAAGCTCCCTTCCTATGGGCTTCCCGAGAAATTGTGCAATTGGATCACCAGCTTCCTTGCAGATCGGAGCATCAAGGTCGTTGTAGACGGTGCATGCTCTGACTACAAGCCTATTAACGCTGGTGTTCCACAAGGCTGTGTGCTATCACCAACGCTGTTTCTTCTGCATATCAATGATATGTTGCTAACTGGTAACATTCATTGCTATGCGGATGACAGCACTGGTGATGCTCTATACACCGGCCGTGCCAATATTTCTCGGGAAAACGTTGCTGAGTACCAGAACAAACTTGTGTCTGAAGTCGAGTCTTTGCTGAACAAAGTCTCGGATTGGGGGCGACTAAATCTAGTCCAATTTAATCCTCAGAAGACACAAGTTTGCGCGTTTACCGCTAAAAAGAACCCCTTTGTCGTATCTCCTCAGTTTCAAGGCGCTCCCCTTCTTGCCTCAGCCAGTATCGGTATCCTCGGAGTCGACATATCGAGTGACGTGCAGTTTCGTGGTCACTTGGAAGGGAAGGCCAAATTGGCCTCTAAAAAGCTTGGCGTGCTCAGCAGAGCGGGACAGTATTTCATGCCGGCACACCGCCTGCTACTTTACAAGGCGCAAGTTCGGCCTCACATGGAATACTGTTCCCATCTCTGGGCAGGGGCTCCCCAGTGCCAGCTACTTCCACTTGACCGCATCCAACGCAGAGCGGCTCGAATTGTCGACGACCGAGCCCTTTCCGATCGGCTCGATTCATTGGCACTGCGAAGAGATGTTGCATCCCTTTGCATTTTCTTTCGCATCTACTATGGGGAGTGCTTTGAGGAATTGTTCGGATTAATCCCAGCCGCCAAATTTCACGAACGCACATCGCGGCAGAACTCCCGATACCATCCACACCATCTGGATGATTGGCGGTCCACCACTGTGCGATTTAGAAGATGTTTTCTTCCTCGCACGACCTCCTTGTGGAATCGATTACCATCAGCGATTTTTCCGGACCGATACGACTTAGGGACCTTCAAGAAAAGAGCGTACTCCTTTTTAAAAGGCCGGCAACGCATCTGCGATTCCCCTGGTGTTGCAGTTGTTCATGGGCGGCGGTAGTCACTTACCATCAGGTGAGCCGCACGCTCGTTTGCCCCCTCTCCTATAAAAAAAAAACTGTGGTTGCACACCAGCCTGCCAAGCGTTGCAACTATGGCAGCATTCCTCCTACAAGGCAATCTATGGGGGAGGTCTACGTTTAGCAGTTGACGTTTATAGGCTGTAATGGATAGAAAATGAAATTAAAATGCTTCCTTCCCAAGGCTGTCTGGCTCGGCGGCTGTTAAATCGAAGAATGTGTGCCTTTCGTTGGTGGACGGTCACTCGCGCATGCGGCGTGGCGCTGCTGTGCAGTTGTTCTGCGCGCCGCACCCCCCCAGACGGGCTCGCGCCCCTCCACAAGCTCCACCCCGTCTGCGATGGACCGCTCCCAGAGATGGTAGTAAGTATTCTGAGAATGGCTTCTTACTACCAGGTAACTCTCAAAACGTAGGCATTTTTAAAAGCTTTTAACTTGCATTGTATGTTTGTTAGGGTTAAATCTTGCAACTGAATTTTAAAGCAATTATCTTCAACCGATTGAGCTGAAATTTTGCCGTTAGTCACTGTGACGTCATTCTAAATCCAATATGGCAGACCGCCCAAGATAGCGTACTATTTATTTTCTATGCACTCCCATAATATGGTTATCAAATGAAAGTGTTTGCTGAGAAGAATACGAAAATGAAATGATGTAACTCTAAATCTTTTTCTTTGTAGTGTATTTAAATAAAAGCTTGTTCTTAAAAATGTTTTTACTATTAATTTGTAATTATTTCATTTGTAGTCCGTAAGTGGTCCTCTGTTGGGCATGGGTCTGTTTTATAGTAGCATTACCATATCAAATACCTTGTTGAAAAATGGGTTAAATGTTTTAATTCTTTCTGTATAGGGATAGCGTAAGGAAGTCCACTAGCCCATGTCACCCAGTAGGTGTGGTAAGAGACAACAGAGGGAATTCAACAGAAGATGGGCAACAGCATCCTCCAGATAACAAATCAAAATAACAAAAAATATTTCCGGTTGCCAACTCGCCTGCCAAGTGTGGCAATAGGAGTAGCTATAGGAAATATTTATCCTGTGAGACAATCTATGGGAGAGGCCTATGTTCAGAAGTGGACTTTTGATGGGTTGCAATTAATAAATTAATAAAAAAAATTGAGATGGTAATTCCAACGGAAGTCATTCAATGAATGGGCGACAGTAGGAGTCCATAAGAGCAGGCATAGGTTATATGATCTTTACCATGAAAGGTCATATAATCATAGCGTCGAATTTAGGGAATATGTAAAAAAATATTCAAAAATATTTAAAAGAGTGTGCTCCATAGCCAAGTCTTTGCGTTTGAGCAACAAAATTAAGACGGCTTCCAATAAAATTAAAATGACATGGAGTATAATTAATAGCGAAACTGGTAAGATCAACTCTCGCAATTCAAATTACCAGTTAAGTGTTAACAACAAATTAACTGTATCAGATCAGGACGTAGCAATGGTTTTTGAGAAATATTTTACTGATATTCCGATCTTGACCACTAAGTCACTGAATTCTTCTCCTGCCGTCGCCGAATCATTACTTAAACAAAATGTAAATGTGTGTACAAAGAATTTTACATTTCATAAAGTGTCATCAAAAGATATTGTAAAATATTTTAAAACTATTGATGTTAAGAAAACTGCGGATCTGTGGGGGATTTCCGTTAAAGTTATTGCGTCTATAATAGATACAATCGCGCCTCATTTAGCTATTATTTTTAATACTAGTATCGAATCTGGTGTGTTTCCTGATTTAATGAAGCATAGTAAAGTAATACCTTTATTTAAATCTGGTAGTACATTAGACCCCGCCTATTTTAGACCTATTTCTGTACTACCAACACTTAGTAAGATTTTTGAAAAAATTGTTCTTGATCAAATGTTAAATTTTTTTAATATAAATAATTTACTTCATAAAAATCAATTTGGTTTCACAAGGGGTCGCTCGACAACTGATGCCGGTGTTGAGCTGATTAAATATATCTTTAATGCATGGGAGAATTCACAGGATGCTTTGGGTATATTTTGTGACCTATCCAAGGCCTTCGATTGTGTTCACCATGAAACATTAATCAGGAAACTTCAACACTACGGTGTAAGAAGTGATGCCCTTAAATTAATTATTTCATATTTAAGTAAGAGAACGCAAAAAGTTGTCATTAACAATATGAGCTCTTCCGGATCGATGGTACAAATGGGCGTGCCTCAAGGCTCAATTCTCGGCCCCTTTCTGTTTCTTGTATACATTAATGACTTACCTTACATAGTAGGGGATAACCATGATATAGTATTATTTGCAGATGACACTTCTTTAATTTTCAAATTAAGTCGACAGTTACTAAAATATGACGAAGTAAATAATGCTATATCTAAATTAGTAAATTGGTTCGATGTTAATAATTTGCATTTAAATGGCACTAAAACAAAATGTATGAAATTCGTGACTCCAAATGTCAAACAATTAAATACTAATGTAATTTTAAATGGGGAGAAACTGAGTCTTGTAGATACCACCATTTTTCTTGGAATCACACTAGTCGCGAAGCTTCAATGGAGCCCCCATATATCAAAACTAGCAAGCAGACTTAGTTCTGCAGCATATGCTGTAAAAAAGATTAGAAATTTTATCAGTGCTGAAACAGCTAGACTAGTTTACTTTAGCTATTTCCATAGCATAATGTCGTATGGTATTTTGCTATGGGGACACGCAGCTGACACTGAAATTATATTTGTTTTACAGAAGAGGGCCATAAGAGCAATTTATGATTTAAAGCCTAAAGAGTCGCTGCGACAAAAATTTAAGGAAATTAATATATTAACTTTGGCCTCTCAATACATTTATGAAAATGTAATGTACGTACACAAAAATAAAAGTAGTTTTATAATAATAAGTGATATTCTTTCTGTAAATACTAGGAACAGACACAAGCTAGTAGTACCAGTTACTCGACTCCATCGAGTCAGTAATTCATTCTTGGGGCGATGTATACGCTTTTACAACAAAATTCCAGAAAATATACAAAGTTTGGCCTGTTCAAAGTTCAAAAACTTTATTAAACTAAGTTTGTATAAAAAGGGTTATTATAATATTAAGGAATTTATGGATGATAATAACCCCTGGAAATGAGGTGATCGCTACCAAGCTATTTCTAATTTGTTGTGTTGTTAATTTGTGTAACATCATGATTGTAAGCTGTTATTTAAAAAAAAGTCCCGCTGGGTTTCTTGCTGGTTCTTCCCAGGACAGAGGTTTTTTCCGAACCAGTGGTAATCAAACAAAAGAGTGACTTTCAATAAGTATTATTTATAATCTATATTGAATAAAAAAGTTTCTGTTTCTGTTTCAACATCTGTAGGTTTTCATGAGACATATATCTTACAGTAATATGGAAGATGTCCTAGAATACAAAATTTAATAAAAGAGATATATAGATATCATTAAATAATTATTGTATGATTAGATTTGTATATATGACCGCTAATAACACTAATACTGGATTTGAAAAGAATTCAGTCAAAACATTTAATTCCAGCTTTAGTAAAATAAACAAACCAATTTTTTTTTCAGAGAAAGTTGTCAAAAATGATAGCTCCGATGAAATATCAGATGAGGAGGAAGAATCAAGCAGCCTGCCTCAGCACGTGTCTCGCCTCAATGTACCTTCACAACGTGTTCGTTCGCGACATAAGAGCAGTAGTCGGGCGCGATCCCTTTCCAAAGCTCAAGATACGATGGCTGATGACAGCAATTCCACAGAAAATCGCGCGTCATCCCATTCTAGATACTACAAAGTGCAACGTTCGGAACTAGGAAAAGGGATTATATATCTACCCAAAGAATTCAATCCAGCTGCGTCGATTCAAGCGCTCGAAATGTTGGACAACTTCAGAACGAAATGTTTCTTTAGTAAAGCGGAAGATAAAAGGCAAACGTTACCAAAATCAACTGAAAACATTACCAAGTTGAACTTCTATCCAGTGAATGCAGCGTCTAAAGAGAATTCCGATGAGACAGCTTTCACTAACCACATGTTTCTCGCATCCTACGACCAAGGTTACTTGAAAAAGTTTAGAGAGGACGCGCATTTGGACAACGTTTTGAAAGAGAGGAAGAACAGAATGTTCAACTCGAGGTACACGACGGACGCGGCGATTTATAAACAGTTCGTAACGGAGAGTCGACAGCAGGACATGTTGGTGATTGGTTGTTTGATTGTAGAAATATTCCTGCACACGTACATGCGTCCGTTGCGAATAAACAACGACAGCTTCACAGAACGATATAACTGTTGTCGAACCGTGTTGAAATACAATTTTAGTTCGTTGCCGAAATGCGTCAGTTATATAGCATCGTTGCTTCTTAACGTACAACCGCCAACGCTAAGCTTCAAGAATGAGTTGGTACCCAAGGACGAGCAACCGAAGAAAGTTATTGTCGCAGATAAAGGGTTACCGCCTCCAACGCCTGCGCAACTGCTTCAACCTTTACTGATGCAGCATTTGATACCGTTCCCCCAAAGTTTTAATGTATTATACAACCTGTTAAGCACGTTGCATGAATACGAACTGACAAGCAATGAACTCAACTTGTTATATATGTACGAATGTGATGGGACACAATGCGAGAAATACCAGAATGTAGACAAAACAAAACTTTATTTCAACCAGAGAATCGCTGAAGGTAAAATCCAAGCCTGTATCACTCATTTAGCTGTCCTATTGAATCAGGTAAATAGCGTCAACCAATTCGACGTTCTGGACATTTTTTTGTCACATTATATAGAGTTGTTGGAGAGCAAGAACACGTCAATTTTGGCTGCTTGGTACTTATTTGACACAGTTAGTAAAGCATTGGGGCCGGCTGAAACGCGAAAAAAACTGCTAAAATATATTTTGAATTTATACGAAGATGACGAATTTGTTTACGATAAATCAGAACAGCACAAACTGACGGACTTAGATTCGTCGGCACATGGCGCAATGGCAACGAAGCATAAGTTCGTGAAGCTGTACCACAATATTTTCCTTTTACAATTGATGGTTAGGTTTGGGCTTCAGTGCTTCTTGGACAATTTTACACAGCATTTAGTAGAAGCTGTGGGCGGATATAAAGACGTTTGTTCGGAAGTGGGGTCGCCAGGTCATCTATGTCACAACCGTTCAATGGCAAATAAGAAGCCGAGGTATTCTGATGACAACGTTAAAAATGCTCTTACAACCACGTCAGACATATTTTCGCCGGACACGTCGTACGGTTCTGAACACGTGGCTACACCAAGCATAGAAAGAACTATGACGGAAGTTAGTGAGGTCTTAAAGGAAAAAGATGTTGACAGCAGAAGTGAGAACGAACTGTTTCATTTTGAAATGGACAAAGACCGGCAACCAAGCCGCAGTAGCAGAAGTAGGTCTCCTACCGGCTCAATAAGTTCAAATCATTCCAAAGAGCCAAATACACTACATACTCCGTCACCATCGTCAGAATATTATTCACCAGGGAACTCTAGATTCTTTACTCCTAACGTTTCAAGTCAGTCGAATTACAAAGAATTTAATGTGCAAGCGGTAAAGGATGAAATTCGCGAATCAATTGTAGAAACACCACTAAAAGTGTCTACGTCGCCTCCTATAGATGTTCCACAACGACCCATGTTTACCAGTTACTTGCATTTTGCTGAGGAAGACTCAAAATCCGAAGATATCGAAGTGGAAAATGAAATTAAAAGTGAAGATGTTTATTCAGATAATAAACTCCCACGAAACTTTAGAAATGAAGATACTGGCAAAGTTTATGATGAATCAAATTCATATAAAATATCAGATATGAGTTCAGAAAGCTTAATATGGCTATCGAACAGGCTGGGGCCGGTATTAACTTGCAGGTACATAACTCGGAATCTACTCAAAATGCTCACGTTGTGTTATATTGGTAAAGAAAATTTATCATGTTGGGAGAGCGAATATAGGGACGAGTTCGACGAAATCTCAGTAGTGAACAGCAAAGTTGTGGGGGACAGGAACGCTATGAAAGTAATAAAGTGCCTCACTTCTATTGTCGGTGAGTATGACTTAAAATAATATCTATTGTTTATATATTTGTTCCGATGCTGAAGTGATAGTGAGTTGGCCATATAGCTCAAAGAACCAACATTGGATGGGGCAGTAAGGTTCTCGAGTAGCAGCCCCGTACCGATAAGCGAAGTGTAGGGCGGCCCCTCACTGGATTGGAGTGACAATCTGGTAAGATATGCAAGAAGTCGATGAATGCAGGTGCATTAGGTCCGTAATAATAAACGTTACTCAGCTCAAATACACGCACTTGAGTACAATCTTGAGGTTATGATCTTATTAATAAACATATCTCAAGATGCTAGGTACCTGATTTAGGTATTTTTTTATATGATAGGGTGATAAACGAGTACACAGTCCACCTGATGGTAAGTGGTTGCTGTGACCCATAGACGTCCACATTTATCCTCAATAAAGAATCAAAATGCAGATGCGTCGTCACCCGTGAGGACTAAGATGGAATGCCTCTTTTCCAGTAAAATGGGTCTCCGGTTCTCTACACTCACCATACGAAACACAGCAGCGTTAAGCTGCTATTTTACGCTGGTTTTCTGCGAGAGCGTGCTCCTTCCCCGATCGAGCCGACCCTGTCGTGCTACAACTATACTACTAATATAGCTGCAGCATGGCTCTACCACGTGTACGATATCAGCTGAGTGTCACACTGATTAATAAAAGAAACTCAACTCTCAAGTGTGTGCACTTGAGTGCAAGTCACACAACAGTATTCCTAAGTACAGTGTTTTGAGATACTGTTTTTATGTGTCTATTAATTAGTAACGATCTTGAGATGCTGATATCGTAATGAGGGTGTATCAAATGATTACGCACTTGAGTTCGTCGTTGAGTAACGTTTATTAATACGGGCCTTAGGATCGTGCTTTGTGACATTCTATGAGGGAGGTCTATTTTCAGCAGTGGATTTGCTGGGCTGTATTGATGTAGAAGATATGTTTGTTGTTATGTTTCTAAATTAAACTCATTAATCTATTAATTAAAAATTGATTAATATATAAATTTATTTCTTACACGAAATTGTGGTCAGGATATTTGAATAATTTTCTCCAATCCCAGTCGGAAGTGATATTTCCGTAAAGCTTAAACAAAAAATAAAATGTGAAAATTATTTTGCTAAGAATCGCGCGAAAAAAGGATGGTGTTTATAACCCAGATGGAAGAACACCTCCATCCCTCCCATAATCGCGTGCGTTATTATTGCCACCACTAAGCCCAACACTGTTTACCTAAAACTACTACACTACTAAATCCAACTTCTATACCTAACACCACTCTAACCTCTCTGTGATCTCTCTCTGCGATGGCTAATCTCTAATATCCCACGTAATAATTTTACAACCAGTTTCCCCGTGGGCTAGTGAAAATTATATTTAAATATAGACCTTACTGCTTGGTATTAAAATCCTAGCTCAAGTTAGTCCAATGCTATTCCTGATCTTTAATCCTGATCGTAAAGTTACGTCTGATTCTATATTCAAAAGCATAATATAATGTTAGTGATTTTGATCTTTTTATAACTATCTTCGTGTCTGCATTCAAGCTTAACTTGGATTATATGTATAAGAAAGTTGGTATAAAATAATATCTCTGTTTTTTTTAATTTGCTCTTTAAAATATGCTTGGTGGCACTTGGAAAAGAAAATGATATCTTTTCACTTATCGTATCTTCAACTATCACTTCTTTAAAAAAATTCCATCTAAACATGTTCCAAGTAGCGTTCTTAGGATATTGGACACTAGGAGTTTACAGACGTAACGTTGTGTATGTACGTATTATCGATTATATATTTGTAACCCCTCCTCCCCTCCGGTTCGCAGAGATGTACGGCGAGCAGCTGATGATGTTCCAGTACCTGCCGCACGTAGGCGAGCTGATCGCATCGTGCCGGCGGCGGCTGTCGGCACCGCTGGAAGGTGGCGTCGTGGCGTGCCTGCAGCTGCTCAAGTACCTGCTGCCCTACATGTCTGACGTTAAGGTCATGGAACAGCTGCAGGTGGGTAATCATCTCAATCAATCAATTGTCATCATAATCGTCATCGTCATCATCATTATCATCATATCATTGTCACCGTCATCTTAGTCATTATCATCATCATCATCTTCTTCGCCATTGACATCGTCGTAATAATCATTATCATCATCGTCGTCGTAATAATAATCATCATCGTCATCATCATCATTATCACCGCCGTCGTCATCGTATTCATTGTCGTCATCATTATCCCACCACGGCGGTCAGTATCAACGGCGACTAGCCATCTGCGCAGGACAGGATTATAGTGCCCCAGAGTATGCGCACGCACCGGTGCACTCCCTATTCCTTCACTTTCATAGATCAATAGGACGGCTATCCGACACGACCGGAGAGAGATCAGCGCAGGACCAACGGCTTTTCGTGCTTTCCGGGGCACGGGGATGAGACGCCACCAATTTTCTGACTCTGGGCTGTCATTGAAAGTTTCTTGACAATAAAACTAACTAATTTTGCCCCAATCCGGGATTCGAACCCGGGACTTCATGATGAGCAAGCACGTTTGAAACTACTAGACCAACGAGGCAGTCAAAATAAATCTGCAGTGTGGTGATTTTAGTTATCACGCTGCAGAATTTTAACAATCACACTGCAGAATTTTAACAATCACACTGCAGAATTTTAACAATCACACTGTAGAATTTTAACAATCACATTGCAGAATTTTAACAATCACACTGCATAATTTTATTTTTAACAACCACACTGCAGAATTTTAACAATCACATTGCAGAATTTTAACAATCGCACCTAACATTCAACGATTAGCATATTTGTGTGTTTGACAGGACACGTTCCTGAAGTCGATCCTGCAGCCTGCGCTCAGGCTGGCGTCTACGGCGCGCTGCTCGTACCCGAGCGGGGCCGCGGCGCGCGCCGCGCTCGCGCGCAGGCTGCTGGACGCGCTGCACGCGCTCGCGCTGCGCGTCGGGCCCGAGATGACAAGGAAGCACCTCTGCGTGCCCGCTCTGCAGAGGTCAATATACCAGGATAGCTGCCCACAAGTGCTGGATTAAACTGCACTTTGAATTAACTAAGCTAACACTTCATTTGACTTGTACACGCCCCTAGCTGTCCCGACAAAGGTCGACTATACAGGGGCCCATACAGCTGTAGACTCGACGGACAACTAAGGACGGGGCCCAAATGGCCTATGGACAATTGACCTACACGATAGAGATAAGGCTAGGTAAATAAATAGTACGTACCTGTTCAGAGGCGAAGACTGGACACAAGACTCGGTCAGGCGGTAGGTATAATGTGTGTAAGTGGTGTTTAGTGGTGTGTTTATATATGTGGCCTGACCCAGCTGAGGTGATCGGGCAGCGGCCTGGTCCGATGCTGCCCCACAATGTAATTCACTCCAGCGGACGTCACCAATTGGCAATTTCTTTCTCCAATTCACTATGTCAGTCTATCAACTTTATTGTACATTTAACTAACTTCAAACTCAACTAAATCCCCGTTAATTATAAATACAATCTTTACGTGGTAGAGCCATGCTGCAGCTATATTAGTAGTATAGTTGTAGCACGAATGGGTCGGCTCGACCGGGGAAGGACCACGCTCTCACAGAAAACCAGCGTAAAATAGCAGCTTAACGCTGCTGTGTTTCGTATGGTGAGTGTAGAGAACCGGAGACCCTTTTTACTGGTAAAGAGGCATTCCATCTTAGTCCTCACGGGCGACAACGCATCTGCATCTTGAGTCTATATTGAGGATAGATGTAGATGTCTATGGGTCTCAGTAGCCGCTTACCATCGGGTGGACTGTGTGCTCGTTTGTTGCCCGCATTTTTTTCTAGGCCTCTTAACGCCCCCCTCTAGGTCTCCAACGCGGTCCCACAAGGGGGCGTTATCGCTCACCTTGAAAAAGACTGCTTTAGTAGTTTATTACTAAATGTGCTTTAGTATGAAGTTGGAATTCGTTGGGGAAGATCTATGTTCAGCATCGGATTTTTCATATGTTGTTACGAATGATTGAATGCGTTTCCGTTTCTATGTCCGCATCTAACTCCTACTTCTTCTTTTTTCGAATTATGGCTTGTCTTGATAGAATTTTGCCAGTGCCAAGTCAGTCATGGGATTGAGAAGTATCTAGCACCTAAACTAGTCTGTGGACAAAACCTATTTTGTCCCACAGACTAGTTTACGATTGGCGATTTTTAACAAACAAACAAATGTCGTGTCGACAAAATGTATGTATGTAATTTGTTTATTAAATAGCTTATATTTTTCTATTATTAGTTAAATCATTGCTGTTGAGTTTTATTTCAGTAGATATTCTTTTGCGCCGATGCTTTATAGTTGTATAACGTATTATTATTATTATTTATACTTTATTGTACACCACAAAAAACGATAAAAAAGAACAAATTACAAGGAGTAAAACTTAAGAGGTAGGTACAATAAGGCGGTCTTATCGCTAATAATCGTATGGTGGTGATGGGAGTAAAGTTAAAGTTCTGGTATGTTCAGTCCGTCTACTAAGCCTGGTGATTACATCAAATCTTCCCAAATTAAAAGTTACGTCTGGCTGCGGACTGTCAATTGAATTCGAGTATTGCATTGATAAATTTTAATATTTCTTCATCAGATTTTTCTTGGCATTTGACAAGGCTACGGGCAAAATGGATAACTGGCCGAAACAGGATGAAATCAATGTTGATAAGGTAAAATATGGCTATATAAATATAAATCTATAATAATATAAACTGGCATGCAAAAAATCGGGCCACCCATTAAGTTTTCAGTTATTTGTTGTTTTGACCATAAATAATGCTGCAAAAGTAATTAAGAACATTATTCGTCTTTGGTTCCCTCATTATCCGTAAGTCTTAAGTTCTGTGAAATTCACGTGTGCGTTTACCAATAGCCAAAAAGCACTAAATAGGAAGATGTCACTAAAATTGCTTTTACTCCTAAAAGCAATATTTATAACCCTCCAGCCATAATTATATTTTTTCATTTCTTTGACATTCAGTTGAGTTTAATTTATTGAACGAGACACTATTACCTTGACTTCCGACTATTAGAATCTTTATAATATGCATCTGACCGAAGCTGTTCTTATAAAACTAAGGTGACAAACGAATTTACAGTCCACCAGATGGTAAGTGGCTCCTACAATCTATAGCCGGTTAAAAGCTGTAATGAAATGAAAAGTTGCAAATGTACATTATTAAAATTTAAAAACAAGATGAAATTCTTTATTTATCTCAGTAATTATTATGTTTACCTTTTATGTAAAATCTTACGGAAATCATTTTTGTACCATACTTTTACTTAATGACTAATTAGTCATTGTTTATTGTCATGAAAAAAATAAAAAAGTTAGTTCTTAAGTTTGTGCATTATTTTCGTGTGGCCTGATTTTTTGCACGCCAGTGTAGATGAAATACTGCACTCAAACTTGAAAACCAGAATATGTATGTAAATAGAAAAATTTCATTTAACAAACGCTTAATTCATTCGTTCTTTATTAAATTTGAAATTTACAATTTGATTATAATTTATAGTAACACTAACTCTAATTAAAATAAATTGATTATAAAAATCACAACAACCTTCTTCTTACGCGACTGCTTCAGAAGGGAGGTAACATTTTCGGACGTATGTTTATATATTTTTTTGTTACTTTTTACGACCTGTTGACCAAATAAATACATCGAGATTATATCAACAGTCATAATAAGTCCAATGTTAGACATATGGATACTTGGAAGATTCGCCAATACCGCGCTAGGCAGGTGAAGTTCATATTGAATATGAGAAGTGCCAAACAAAGTCGTGGTCTGATAAATGAGGGAGTTATCCTCCCAACTCGTATTATGCTAGATTTTTAACCGACTTCCAAAAGGAGGGCGTACTCAATACGACTGAAAAAATATCATTTTTTTATGTATGACATCATAACTTTTTTCTAGATGAACCGATTTTGATGATTCTTTTTTTTATTTGAAAGCTGGTGCTTCGCATGTGGTCTTATATAAATTTGATCAAGGTATGATCAGTTGTTTTTGAGTTATAATTTATATTGAAGACGGTTGTACAAATTTTTTAATTTTATCACTTGTAAATACTAAGACCGGCGACGGGGAGAAGCATCAAATGCTTATCAAGTACCGCAATTACGGCAAAAGCCTCTTTAAAATTGTAGAGAATTATGTAGTAGTGGACTGTTGAGGCCGAATGAAAAACAACAATATTTAATATTATCATTTTATGCCTACAGCCTACAGAGCCAGAGTGCACGGAAACGAAGTTAGAGGGATTCCTCGAGATATGTCGCGATGGCAGTACCGCGGAATGGGCGGTTCGCGATGGAAGGGTAGTTCGGGCTGATCTGCCGGAACTGGCATGTTCTCCACCAGAGCAGCCCGAACAAAATGACGCTGCTGGCCTCACCGTGAGTGGTTCTACATTTTCAGACCTGGAAGCATGAATTTACATTTTAATAACTTATTGTATTTCTTCTACAGGCGCAAGAAGAACTTTTAGTGGTGTTTGACGAAGAACTGGCATACCAAGCTTACACCACATTTGCCAGGTTCATAGGCACGGAGGCTCTAGACCGTTGTTTGAAGAATAACGATACAATACGCGCTTTGTGCCAGAAATATAAGCAGACACATTCCATCAGGTATGTTTTTATTATAATTTTATATGAAAAAGTAAAGTAAATTTACAGGCTATATACATCCTCTACTGGGCACAGGCCTCCTCTTATTTCTGGGAGGGTTTTAGGGTATATTGAAATAATATTTTTGATTACTTACATAGATTTAGAAGAGGAGGGGGGGGGGGATGTCTCGCATGAACTTAGTGCAATCTTATTAGTAACAGACGAGGCTTTGGTGATCTATTGATGGTAAAAAATAGATATAAAAACGCTGAACCTAAATTTTACATACTGTCATATGTACTGTCACACTAGTTTATGTGATTTGTGTCATTAGAGGAAGAACAAAAAAAAAAGAAGGAAACATCTTTCTTTGAAGTTACATAAAACACAATTGCACCACATCTATATATTTATACCTTAACTTTAAAAATCAATGCAGCAACAACTATTCATTCGAGTGAGCACTGTGCCGCAGTATAATAACCACAGCGCTGTTGCGCTTATCAAGAACACACTAGATAATGGATATACCGCCATTATGTATTTTTTAAATTTATTTGAGAGTCGCAGCGTAAGAGAAGCCATTCTATTTAGTGCCGAGGCTGTTGTAAGAGGCGACTCTAGGAAAGACCAGAAAGATATTGTAGTCCGCGATAGATGGCGTTGTAACGTCTCGGTGACCTCAAAGTTGTGAGATATCTGGGACAAGGAACGCTAATATGCCGGGCATCTGTAGATTGTTAACAGTTGATAGAAAAGTAGGAAGAATTGAAGATTTTTTTAAACCCCCCCCCCCACACTCGTCGTATGGCATGGGAAGTAGTAAGGAATAGAATAGAATAGAATAGAATGATTTTTATTCAATATGGATTATTACATAATACTTATTGAAAGTCATTATTTTATTTACCACTGGTTCGGAAAATACCTCTGTCCTGGGAAGAACCAGCAAGAAACCCAGCGGGACTTTTTTTTTTAAACATAATTTCACTTAACAATAATTTTGATTATACAATTTTAAATGAATTTTCATAGAACCAGCATGGTGGCGATCACCTTATTCCCAGGGGTTATTTTCACTCATGTATTCCTTGATATTATAATAACCCTTTTTGTACAGTTTTTCTTTAATAAAACTTTTAAACTTGTTTATTGACAAACTTTGAACATGTTCTGGGATTCTGTTGTAAAAGCGTATACATTGCCCCATAAATGAATTACTAATTCTGTGGAGTCTTGTAAGTGGCATTACAAGCTTATGTTTGTTCCTAGTGTTTAAGGTATGAACATCCTTATTCTTATTAAAGCTATTTATGTTTTTATGTACATACATTACATTTTCATAAATATATTGCGATGCCAAAGTTAATATGTTTATTTCTTTAAATTTTTCTCTAAGGGACTCTTTACAATTTAGATTATAAATCGCCCGTACGGCTCTCTTTTGCAAAACAAATATAGCTTCAATATCAGTCGCATTACCCCATAGCAAAATTCCATAAGACATTACGCTATGAAAGTAACTAAAATACACTAACCTAGCTGTCTCAACATCTGTGAGACTTCTAATCTTTCTTACAGCATATGCTGCAGAACTAAGTCTGCTTGCTAATTTAGATATATGGGGGCCCCATTGAAGTTTCGCGTCAATAGTAATACCGAGAAAAACAGTGGTATCCACAAGACTCAACTCCTCCCCATTTAAGAGCACATTGGTTTTCGAATGTTTTACATTAGGTATTGTAAATTTAATACATTTTGTCTTATTGCCGTTTAAGAGCAAATTGTTGGCGTTAAACCAATGTACTAGTTTCGATAGAGCATTATTTACATCGTCATATTTAATTGACTGCCGTTTCAGTTTGAAAATTAAAGAGGTATCGTCAGCAAATAATACTATATCGTGATTGTCCCCTACAAGATAAGGTAAGTCATTAATATAGATTAAGAACAGGAATGGGCCAAGAATCGAGCCCTGAGGAACGCCCATTGATACTACCGATCCGGAGGAACATTTACCATTAATGACGACTTTTTGAGTTCTGTTACTTAAATATGAAGGAAAGGAGGCAGAGACGTAGTTTAGCAACAATTCTCGTCACGCAGCACGTCATGCTCCTCGTTATGCCTATCGCTCCCTGTTTTGTCGGTTTTTGGGAGCGAGTCAAAGGACTGGTAATATGAGCGCGAATGGCCGGCCACATAATCGCGCGAACGCAGTCCGAATCGAGCGCTCGTTACGGAAACGTCGTTCTATTGCGATGAATTATGTCATTCACCATCTCTGTTGCCGAGGATGACGACGTATGTTTCTTTTTGTGATATTGATATAATCAGCTATACTAAATGTGTATATATATATATATAATATATATATATATATATATATATATATATATATATATATATATATATATATTATATATATATATATTATATATAGCGCGCGTGCTGCAACAGTTTTAACAACCATGATATTTCAAACGCGAGCGACCTACTGCGGGGAGCGTCGCGAATAATTACGCGAGTAGAGCAGTGTGTGGACAGAGAGGGCAATATCGCGGCTGCGCGAGTAGTAGAGCGGTGAGCAGCGCGAGGAGCATAGTGTGGCGGAACTATTACACCAATCCTGGGTATAGACCCTAAAAGATAGTATTGTTAATTTTTCTAGTTCACCCCTGCATATAAATCGCCAAGAAAAACTACGGTATCAGTCGTCGTTCAGTGACGAACCGATCAACCGAAAGGTCACGCTCACTCCGACGAAGAGCGACGTTACGATGGACCACGTGTCCAGCTCCAACAGCTTCGGTTCCAATGTCACTTTAGTGGGCAACAGGATAGATGTCGCCACGGACGCAGTCGAAGGCGCCAACGGACAAGCGTGTGGCTTCGATGCCGTGGCGTATAAGATGTGTAATGGCGTAAAAAGTGATAGGTGAGTTTAAGATGTACATAATATTTTAAGAAGTACATAATATTTTTAGTAAGTATTATAATTTTTTTTATTTTATTAGCCTCTACTGACCCACTGCCGTGCAGTGGACAATACTAATTGGGTAAATTATATTAAACGTTGAATTGTAGGCTCACTGTCTATAACAATATAGTCTAATTTCACTTGCAGACATCTCCGAGGCGACTGGTTGATCTACTGGGAGCATGAAATAGGCCGGCCCGATAAGGACCCCCGCTTTAACTTGAAACAGATAAAGCTGCAGACATTCTTGGGACACACGCATTCAGTCAAGTCGATACACTGCCTGGATAACGAGAATAGCTTCATGAGCGGGTCGAAGGACAAAACGGTCAAGCTCTGGTCTTTGAGAAATCATGTAATGTCAAAATAACAGCTTTTTACTAAATGCATATGAAAGTATATATAGTTTTTGTCCATCTCTCTATTTGTTTGTTTTGGCGAATCTCAAAAATGCCTGAACCGATTTTGATGGAACTTTCACTATGAAATAGTTCATGTTATAAAGAGTGACTTAGGCTACTTTTATTTCAGATAAATAATTGGGGTTCCGTCCAAAAATCTAATCGTAATAAAGAACAATAGCAGACTTTCATACATAAAATTAGTTCAGAAAAAATGGTAGCGTCTATATACCAAAAATATCTTAAAATGTTAAGCCTCAGTTCCTTAATAACTCTGTCAAAGAATTTTGTACTGAGAAGGCGTCAATAAAAAGATATTTACATTTGAACTTTTTAGGTTATGTCCTATGTCACTTGGAAAAAGTCACGCTTCCTGTGGTTGTTTGATGTTAGCTTAATTACATAATGATTTCTTATATTTACGCGAACACTACACATTGAATAAAACTATTTTTACGGATTTTATCGTGTTTAATTAACTTATTTTATATTCCCGACGTTTCGGTTGCTTTCCAGCAACCGTGGTCACGGGGGACTGAGGTGATTGACGTCCCGATGTCAAAGTTAACCCGGAGTACCTTCAGCTTTTTAATTATTAATTTTGGTCCGATCTACGCAGAATGAACTAACTGTGTCTTGAAGTCTTGCAGTGGTATGCTTGGGTTTAGTTTTAATTTTATGAATTACAGGATCCCAAGCAGGTGGTAGTACCCAGCCTCCCTCTCTATTGAAATTAGGATGTTTTTTAATTTCAATAGCCTCACGTATCATCCTTGGCAGGAATCGATGTTCTTTCGCGAGGACTTGTGGTTTATCAAATATAATATAATAAATCCCCCCGCCATTACATTAGATTAGATTAAAAAGCTGAAGGTACTCCGGGTTAACTTTGACATCGGGACGTCAATCACCTCAGTCCCCCGTGACCACGGTTGCTGGAAAGCAACCGAAACGTCGGGAATATAAAATAAGTTAATTAAACGAGATAAAATCCGTAAAAATAGTTTTATTTAATTATATAATACATAATTGAGAGTTTTTAGATTATTGTATATCTATTATATATTTGCATACTATAAATTTATATTTCTGGCATGGCTCCAGGTCTTTTGTATGATAGTGACATTCTCAGAAGGGCTAGAACCCAGAGCCGTAAAGCCAGTAAAAAACTGTCATTTTATTTTAGCTAGTGTTGGCATAACATTAAATGGAATTGTTACATAGTACTATGATTGAGATAATGTATTATTGTAGAAAATTATTTGTAAGAGACTTATTCTCAGCCATATCACTTTTATTATTATTATTACTGATAGTACAGTTATTACTAATAATAACTTAATATAAAAATATTTTGTGTTGTGTTGGTAGTCTTACAAAGTGTATACGAAAATAGTATAAATATATTAAATGGCAACATTTGGATAGAGTAAAATGATTTAAGTCATTTGATATTCCCAAAAATGTTTGTTTTTTTCTGTGGCTTTAATTAAAATACATTTTTATTTGAAAAATCATAGAAAAATAATAAATCTCATTTTATATATAACTTATTTCTAGACGCTATAATTTTTATCAACTATTTTTCTGCCATTGCTTTTTCACGCGGATGAAGTCGCAGGGAACAGCTTGTTTAATATAATTATTCGTATTACTTTAAGAAGTCGATGACATATAACCGTGATAGTGGCTAAGCAATAATGCAATTCCAGGCATGAACAACCTTTGACAAACCTTACACTAACTCTGTCATGTCAAGGTTTTTTTGCGATGTTTTCTTTCACCGCCGAGCACGTGGTAAATGAGCACTTAAAATTGCAATTAACAATTTCAGCATGGATCGAAACTGGACTCGATCCCCGCCGGCACCAATGAGTTCGAACCGGGAGAGCCATGGTAATCTGAGCTACCGTTTAGCATAATTACAGGCTGTGAATCATCCCATCTTAGTCCTCAATGGTGACAACGCATCTGCGGCCTTCTTTGTGAAGTTGTTTGTAGGTAGGTATCAATAAGCTGCAGTAGTCCATTGAGTGGGCTGTGACTTGGTTTATCACTTTAGTTTTTTTAAACCTGTTGCTACTTGCAGGAATATTTTAATTATTTATATCCAATAACCGTATTAGAAATTTTAATAATAGAGCTTTTTTTTAATAAAATGACCGAATGAAAAAACAATAAGCTAAATAAAATGGCGACTGTCATGGACCAAGCAAAACATCTATATTTTCACTTCTCATTGGCAACTGTACCATGCAGATTAATTATAATAATATTTATTGCAATATATTAAATGCAACCAATTAACTATCTAACATCCTCAATAATTGATTAACAGGCTTAACAGACAAGCTGAAATTATGCTTATTGATTTTTACTCGTTAAAAATGAAATCCTATTAAAGATGATAAAAATCAGTTTGCTGAAGCTGAGATCCGCGTAATGAAATAATGATATCTTACCTAGTTTGAAGAGCACCTCCCGCCCTCCCTCAATTGCGTGCACTATCCCTGTCACCACTGATCCTAACACCACTACTCCCAACACCAGTACACTAGGAAAGACACCACCGTCGATAATACGACACGTGTTTCTCCTCTACACAAGGCATCCTCACGTGAAGTAGACTGTGGTGGCTGACCACAGAGTCTACCTTACACGCGGCTCTTGAATTGCAAATTGATTTTTAACATCTTAAATATAAAAATGAATCGCTGAATCTGTTGCTAAGCGCAAATCTCGAGAGCAGCTGAAGCGATTTCGCTAATTTTTTTTAAAAATATTCTTTGAAGTATGAAGATGGTTCTTACGGAGAGAAAAATTTAAAAAAATTCCTGAAAAAGTCTAAAAACAACACTTCTTTATTCCCATCCAAAAGATTAGTAATAATACGTAAAAGTCAATTTGAACTTTAATACATACCATAAAGTTTAAGTGTTAGTGGAGGGGTTCCGGGAAGGCAAAACAATTGAGTGACGTTAGTATCGTATAAATATTAATGTCAATATTTATACACACTGGCAGATAGCTGATGTTATAAGGAGTAACTTGGGCTGCTTTTATTTTAGGATTCCGCGAAAAATAACTCCACGCGAGCGAAGTCTTAGGGAACAGCTAGTTTTTAATATAATGGATTTCCGCAAAGTAACCCCCGATTGTATTCATTAATGAAATCCTATAAAAATAAAACATTTTAAGTTTATATTTTTCTTAAAAAATTAGTTGTCTACTTCAGCTGAATGTAACAACCGAGATATCAGATGCCTCTAAAATATTAATGATAAAATTCTACCAGGGCGACGGCAACGCTACTACCCAGTGTAATTGGACCTACACAGGACACAAAAAAGGGGTACTGTCTTTGGCTTTCTTGGAATCGCTTCGCCTCGCCGTGTCGACTGATTCAGTTGTACATATTTGGGACCCTTTCATGGAGAGTGTCGTTTCACAGGTGAGTTCATTTTACCCACTGCCAGTTAGATAAACAGTAAATATTTCTTGATTTGACTCCGTCGTTAGTTTAATGGTCGTAAATGCGACTGATTACCTTGAGGTCCCGGGTTCCCATCATGGGTCGGTCAAAAGCAGTTATTGAGCTTTCCTGACTAGTAATTCGTAATAGTAGCTCAGCAGGAATTTGACAGTGTTTCAACCTCGTGCCTAGGAAAACTCGTAAAGCCATTGGTCTTGCGCCTGATCTCTCTCCAGTCGTGTCCATTTACCGTCCCATCGGAATATGAGAGTGAGGGAATAGAGAGTGCACCTGTGTTTGTGCAAATACTCGGGCACTATAACGGTCTTGCGCCGATGACTAGTCTCCGTGGAGACTCGTCGCTGTTACCGAGATTCGGTCTGGAGGATTATTATTATTTTTATTTCTAGACATCAATATACCAAACTCGATTTTAGAATTGCTTTTTATAATTTACTCATATTTCAACTCATACTTTTATATTTCAAGTTTATAACCGTCAAAATCTGTTATAAAGTTAACCATAATTTACGTAAACCATTGTTAATATTAATAAATTATGTATTTTACGTCAGATAAGATAGAGTTCTTAATGGATTTCTTATGCTACTATCACTTAGAGTTATAAACCCGTTACTTAAAAACGAGTACAAATAAATAATAAATTTTGTATAGTCTTTATTAGAATTAATTTAGGAATCAATCAAAAAGCAAACCAACTCGAAGAAAATTGTTTGTAGCTATGTTGATTTTTGAAATAATTATATAAATAAATTTGCGTATTGTTGTACATAGTTGGACAACATAAAGTCCGCGGTGAGCATCGTCCGCACGTTGCCGGGCCCGTCCGCAGTGCTGGTGGCCGCCACCACCGACGCCACGCTGCGTCTGGTCGACGCCAGGGCCGCCAACTGCTCACACGAACTCAAGGTACCACCGCCATATGGACACACTAAAAGATCTTTTATATGATATTAAAGTGCCAACTTAAAAATGCTGCAGGTGTCTTTGCTCCCCTGTTTGGGACAAAGTCACTATGTGACATAAATACTAATAGTGGGTCAATTCCTTTGGTATACCGCAAAATACTTACAAGGCTGTCTCGACGTCTAGTCGCTAAAAATATGCAAGGGTTGTCACAAAAGCATTTCTTTAGATAATAACATCTTTCAGGTCACTCTATCAAGTCCGGAGGCAGAGGCGGATTAAATGTCGAATGCGCCCTAGGCTAGCCTAGCACCTCATTGACGCTCCTTTAGGGGCCATATTATATTTATTATAAGTTAAATATCTCATTTTGCAAATGCAAAATAATTAGGATACCAGTACCCTTAACAGGGGCATAAATGAAAAATGTGATGAGAAAGTAAGTGATTTAGATTTTTTTTTCGTTTAAAAACTTCCACGCGCGTCCTTTTAACCTTGCGGCCCTAGGCACGTGCCTAGATTGCCTTAAGGATAATCCGCCACTGTCCGGAGGTAACAAAATGAGCCCAAACTCGGCACACCTATTACTATCACTACTCTTCGAGGAGTTCTAGTAGCATTCACCGAAGTACACCTTCAAGTCACATCGTCAAGCCCGGGGGTAAGGTCTCATCATAACTAACATAACGAGCACAATCTCGGCACACCTAGTTCTACTCGTCGAGGAGTTCCAGTAGCAGATACTGAAGTACACCTTCAGGTCACTCCATAAAGTCCAAGACGTATAAGTATATTTATATATAAATGCTGCGTACTCTTAGCGAAACAAAATATTGTAATAAAAATCTGTGATTAAAAAAATTATTATATCTTACCTTGGTCAAGTATGTATCAAATGTGGTTTTTGGAATATTTTGTATTTCTACAGCGAGCGATATTTCTCAGCACGAACCGCTGTAAACAACCGATCACTCACGACAGCGGCTGAGCCCGGAGTTAGGCAAAGTGTATTTAGTAAAATAAATTAATACAAGGCTGCTCAAATCACCGAAAATTTCGGGATTTCGCAACCGAAAAAAATTAATTATAACTAAACAAAACAAAATTAAACTGCTGTTTGCATTCCATGGCTTCCCACATGATAGATGAAGAGTTTGAAAAATAGATTGAGTTGAACAATTGATATTTTCAAAAGTTTATCGTGTTTACCACTCCATACTTGATAAATCTACACCATAAGTCACTAAAACCACTTTTTTATGTAAAAATAGTAATTGATCTATTTAAAAAAAAATAAGTTCAACAATCATTTCTCTTTCTGCCAATGTGTTTTTTATATGATTTATATGTTCAATATGATTTTTAGATACGATTTCATGCGACAAAACGTTGGAATCTTGATTTTTATGTTTGCGCTTAAGGCATGCAATTTATAAATTTTTAAGTTACCGAAGGATAATGAAAGGTGAATTTGTTTTGTTAGATTTGTACAGCGAAAAAATAATTAAGTAATGATTTAATTACAAAAGTAATACCTAAGTACTTTATTACAAAACTTAGTTGAAAGTTACTTTATCGTCCCAGTACACACTTACATACCTATACTTGTTTTTGTAATTAAAATATTTTAAGTTATTGTTACAAAAAAACAATTGTACTACAGATCACTTTAGTTCGCAGTTGTATCGCTTCGAAGTATTCACTTGTATCGCCAATTCAATACTGGCCCGGTCGCGGTCTATACCGGCCTTATATAGGGCCCTTCTAGAATGTTCGAGTACATATCGGTTCCGGTTGACTAGGTGTCGATAGTTCTAGAAAGTTCTTCATGGAAATTTCTAGATTGTTTTTGACTCTTACGTGCACGATTTATCTAATTAATAATAATTATGTAGGTTATTTAAACGTCGGCAAGCAGTCAACATTAAAGGAGTGCAACTTCTGTACGTAGTACTATTATCTATTGTGCCTACAGTTCAGCTCAATAAAAGGCAGTTATTATAATACAACAGGTAGACATTAGTGCTGCAGCGAATCGTAGGAGATGTTTATTGTCATTACGATAGTCGTAGTGCACTGGCGTAAAAAAGCAAGCGTAAAAAGTTAACTGTTCATTAATTTCTTTAAAAATTTCACTGAATTTTAATTTTTTTTTAACTTCTTACGACTTTTAATTTCAATAGGTATGAATAGGACTGAAAAAAGAATATGTGAAACTGGGTGAAGCGTTGCCTTGTCTATATAATCATTCATTAAGTGAATATTCAAGGAAAGATTTAACGGATAAAGCTTGGGCAGAAATATCGTCATAAATATCGCTTTCTACTTCTTACATAATCAAACAATAAAAAATCCTCTTCGTCTAAAAAGAAAGTAAGATAATCTATCAGTTCACCCAACACATCTGGTACCGTTAACACCATGATTTCATTGAGATCTTACAAAACGATACGTTTACTCTACGATTCGTTTATAGAACACTGCAGGTCTCGTACGCGTTGCGTAGTAACAATACGCTTACGATACGACTACGCTTACGAATCTTGTGGAAGAGCCTTAGTTTAACGTAATTGCAGCTGGCGAGCGCGGCGACGACGTTCATCCGCTGCATGTGCATCTGCGCGTCGGGCGCGTGGGTGGCGTGCGGGCTGGCCGGCGGACACGTGGCCGTGCTCGACACGCGCAGCGGCCGCCCGCTCGCCGCCTGGCGCGCGCACGACGCAGAGGTAACGCACACACGCGCACACGTACACACGTACACACCTACACGTGGGCGGCGTGCGGGCTGGCCGGCGGACACGTGGCCGTGCTCGACACGCGCAGCGGCCGCCCGCTCGCCGCCTGGCGCGCGCACGACGCAGAGGTAACGCACACACGCGCACACGTACACACGTACACACCTACACGTGGGCGGCGTGCGGGCTGGCCGGCGGACACGTGGCCGTGCTCGACACGCGCAGCGGCCGCCCGCTCGCCGCCTGGCGCGCGCACGACGCAGAGGTAACGCACACACGCGCACACGTACACACGTACACACCTACACGTGGGCGGCGTGCGGGCTGGCCGGCGGACACGTGGCCGTGCTCGACACGCGCAGCGGCCGCCCGCTCGCCGCCTGGCGCGCGCACGACGCAGAGGTAACGCACACACGCGCACACGTACACACGTACACACCTACACGTGGGCGGCGTGCGGGCTGGCCGGCGGACACGTGGCCGTGCTCGACACGCGCAGCGGCCGCCCGCTCGCCGCCTGGCGCGCGCACGACGCAGAGGTAACGCACACACGCGCACACGTACACACGTACACACCTACACGTGGGCGGCGTGCGGGCTGGCCGGCGGACACGTGGCCGTGCTCGACACGCGCAGCGGCCGCCCGCTCGCCGCCTGGCGCGCGCACGACGCAGAGGTAACGCACACACGCGCACACGTACACACGTACACACCTACACGTGGGCGGCGTGCGGGCTGGCCGGCGGACACGTGGCCGTGCTCGACACGCGCAGCGGCCGCCCGCTCGCCGCCTGGCGCGCGCACGACGCAGAGGTAACGCACACACGCGCACACGTACACACGTACACACCTACACGTGGGCGGCGTGCGGGCTGGCCGGCGGACACGTGGCCGTGCTCGACACGCGCAGCGGCCGCCCGCTCGCCGCCTGGCGCGCGCACGACGCAGAGGTAACGCACACACGCGCACACGTACACACGTACACACCTACACGTGGGCGGCGTGCGGGCTGGCCGGCGGACACGTGGCCGTGCTCGACACGCGCAGCGGCCGCCCGCTCGCCGCCTGGCGCGCGCACGACGCAGAGGTAACGCACACACGCGCACACGTACACACGTACACACCTACACGTGGGCGGCGTGCGGGCTGGCCGGCGGACACGTGGCCGTGCTCGACACGCGCAGCGGCCGCCCGCTCGCCGCCTGGCGCGCGCACGACGCAGAGGTAACGCACACACGCGCACACGTACACACGTACACACCTACACGTGGGCGGCGTGCGGGCTGGCCGGCGGACACGTGGCCGTGCTCGACACGCGCAGCGGCCGCCCGCTCGCCGCCTGGCGCGCGCACGACGCAGAGGTAACGCACACACGCGCACACGTACACACGTACACACCTACACGTGGGCGGCGTGCGGGCTGGCCGGCGGACACGTGGCCGTGCTCGACACGCGCAGCGGCCGCCCGCTCGCCGCCTGGCGCGCGCACGACGCAGAGGTAACGCACACACGCGCACACGTACACACGTACACACCTACACGTGGGCGGCGTGCGGGCTGGCCGGCGGACACGTGGCCGTGCTCGACACGCGCAGCGGCCGCCCGCTCGCCGCCTGGCGCGCGCACGACGCAGAGGTAACGCACACACGCGCACACGTACACACGTACACACCTACACGTGGGCGGCGTGCGGGCTGGCCGGCGGACACGTGGCCGTGCTCGACACGCGCAGCGGCCGCCCGCTCGCCGCCTGGCGCGCGCACGACGCAGAGGTAACGCACACACGCGCACACGTACACACGTACACACCTACACGTGGGCGGCGTGCGGGCTGGCCGGCGGACACGTGGCCGTGCTCGACACGCGCAGCGGCCGCCCGCTCGCCGCCTGGCGCGCGCACGACGCAGAGGTAACGCACACACGCGCACACGTACACACGTACACACCTACACGTGGGCGGCGTGCGGGCTGGCCGGCGGACACGTGGCCGTGCTCGACACGCGCAGCGGCCGCCCGCTCGCCGCCTGGCGCGCGCACGACGCAGAGGTAACGCACACACGCGCACACGTACACACGTACACACCTACACGTGGGCGGCGTGCGGGCTGGCCGGCGGACACGTGGCCGTGCTCGACACGCGCAGCGGCCGCCCGCTCGCCGCCTGGCGCGCGCACGACGCAGAGGTAACGCACACACGCGCACACGTACACACGTACACACCTACACGTGGGCGGCGTGCGGGCTGGCCGGCGGACACGTGGCCGTGCTCGACACGCGCAGCGGCCGCCCGCTCGCCGCCTGGCGCGCGCACGACGCAGAGGTAACGCACACACGCGCACACGTACACACGTACACACCTACACGTGGGCGGCGTGCGGGCTGGCCGGCGGACACGTGGCCGTGCTCGACACGCGCAGCGGCCGCCCGCTCGCCGCCTGGCGCGCGCACGACGCAGAGGTAACGCACACACGCGCACACGTACACACGTACACACCTACACGTGGGCGGCGTGCGGGCTGGCCGGCGGACACGTGGCCGTGCTCGACACGCGCAGCGGCCGCCCGCTCGCCGCCTGGCGCGCGCACGACGCAGAGGTAACGCACACACGCGCACACGTACACACGTACACACCTACACGTGGGCGGCGTGCGGGCTGGCCGGCGGACACGTGGCCGTGCTCGACACGCGCAGCGGCCGCCCGCTCGCCGCCTGGCGCGCGCACGACGCAGAGGTAACGCACACACGCGCACACGTACACACGTACACACCTACACGTGGGCGGCGTGCGGGCTGGCCGGCGGACACGTGGCCGTGCTCGACACGCGCAGCGGCCGCCCGCTCGCCGCCTGGCGCGCGCACGACGCAGAGGTAACGCACACACGCGCACACGTACACACGTACACACCTACACGTGGGCGGCGTGCGGGCTGGCCGGCGGACACGTGGCCGTGCTCGACACGCGCAGCGGCCGCCCGCTCGCCGCCTGGCGCGCGCACGACGCAGAGGTAACGCACACACGCGCACACGTACACACGTACACACCTACACGTGGGCGGCGTGCGGGCTGGCCGGCGGACACGTGGCCGTGCTCGACACGCGCAGCGGCCGCCCGCTCGCCGCCTGGCGCGCGCACGACGCAGAGGTAACGCACACACGCGCACACGTACACACGTACACACCTACACGTGGGCGGCGTGCGGGCTGGCCGGCGGACACGTGGCCGTGCTCGACACGCGCAGCGGCCGCCCGCTCGCCGCCTGGCGCGCGCACGACGCAGAGGTAACGCACACACGCGCACACGTACACACGTACACACCTACACGTGGGCGGCGTGCGGGCTGGCCGGCGGACACGTGGCCGTGCTCGACACGCGCAGCGGCCGCCCGCTCGCCGCCTGGCGCGCGCACGACGCAGAGGTAACGCACACACGCGCACACGTACACACGTACACACCTACACGTGGGCGGCGTGCGGGCTGGCCGGCGGACACGTGGCCGTGCTCGACACGCGCAGCGGCCGCCCGCTCGCCGCCTGGCGCGCGCACGACGCAGAGGTAACGCACACACGCGCACACGTACACACGTACACACCTACACGTGGGCGGCGTGCGGGCTGGCCGGCGGACACGTGGCCGTGCTCGACACGCGCAGCGGCCGCCCGCTCGCCGCCTGGCGCGCGCACGACGCAGAGGTAACGCACACACGCGCACACGTACACACGTACACACCTACACGTGGGCGGCGTGCGGGCTGGCCGGCGGACACGTGGCCGTGCTCGACACGCGCAGCGGCCGCCCGCTCGCCGCCTGGCGCGCGCACGATGCAGAGGTAACGCACGCACGCGCACACCTACACACACCATGTCACGATCACGAGCGCACACGTACACACACGTACATGTACATACGTGCAATTGACAACAGGTGTGCGTATACTCGCGCCCACATTGTGTTCGTACATACGTGCAGACGTACAATTACACACACATGCCCACGTACACGTGCAAATGTACACACACGTGTTTGTACGTGGTGGAGCCATGCTGTAGCTATATATTAGTAGTATATTTTCAGCACTAATGGGTCGGCTCGACCAGGGAATAACAACGCTCTTATAGAATACCAGCGTGAAATAGCAGCTTGATGCTGCTGTGTTTCGTATGGTGAGTGTAGAGGACCGGATACCCTTTTTACTGTTAACGAGGCATTCCATCTTATTCCTTAGATCTGAGTCCTTACTGGTGACAATGCATCTGCATTGTAATCCGTAATCGAGAATTTATGCCTATGGGCCACAGTAACCACTAACAATCAGGTGAACTATGCGTTGGTTTGTCACTTTTATCCTATAAAAAAACACACGTTTACACTCGCACACTAATACACGTACACACGTACAATAAATAGTACACACGCACACAAGTATACATGTAAAATTGTACATATGCACACAAGTATACACGTAAACACAAACACACGTTCGTTCGTGCACAAATACAAACGCGCACACGTACGTACACAACATTCGCGCGCAATTACATCCGCACACGCGCAACCATACATATGTACATACACATCGACACATACAAACAGACACCAACGCGCACAAGTACGCACGAACGCCCTAGCTCGTACACGCGCAGGCACATGCACATAATACACAAACAGAAATGCACCGACCCCGTAAGCCTTTGCTTAAAAACATGTGAAAATATTTATTCTCTTAACAGGTGCTTCGGTTAGCAGCCGTAGATGATCACAGGTTGCTGAGTTCAGGGCTAGATCAAGTCACTGCCCTCTGGCGCGTTGACGACGGGGAGTTGATCGCGCATCTCAAGTAAGTTTCCCTCTTCATTTAGCTGAGAATCTTCTCAAACAGAGAGATTTAAATTGTAAAGCATCGAATCATAATTGTCACAAATTCCTCACTTAATCTAGACATAATAAAGTTCTGGATATCATCGGGATGAATTCTGATTTAAATGACGCCTAAAGATGTCAATATATAGAAAACATAGATTCGATGAGACAAAAATACTGAACGACGCATATTTTACGCATAGTTTTTGTTTAATATAATTATTTGCTTTCATTCTTTATTTGTTTTGTCGTTAAATACATTTAATACAAATAAAAATGTGAATACAAAATGGTTTATTCTTTATTTAATCATGTAGGGTGACACTTGATACATAAAATTTAAGATATAGTGTTTGTTTAGATTGTCCGAAAGTTCGCAAGAAAAATACTAATCTATCTATATACACATGTAAGTGTTGTACTTAGATACGAGTATATATAGATCAATTTCACCATCCGTGACTTTAATTTGTTGTCTGGAAGAGATCGCTTATAGTGATAAGACTGCCACATAGTACCTATTGTTATCTATTTTAATGTGTGCATTGGTATTTTTAGTTACAAAAGGCCTTATTATGATACAAGCTCTACAAGCGCCGGTATGGATACCATATTTATATCCCACTAAATTTCTCCTCGGTTTTTCGAGTTACAACTCATTGCAAGCACGGCGAGCGTATCAACAAGCTATCAAGACGCTCTAGACCTGAGTGCTGAACTGTGTCGATTTTTTGTACCAAATGACTAGTGTTGTAATCGCAAGCATTTTTGCCGTGCCATGGGCACGCATCGTTGCCCGCGCCATCTCGCCTGTACCCCGGGTCCTCACCGCACTTAACGCTCTCCTGGATCAAACTCCTGAGTGCAACCTGTTTGCGGATAAAATGCTTGAAGTTTTGTGAACGAGAAGAATGAATTTGTTGTTTTTAATTAATATAATGTAAATTGCTTTACCGTTTTAATTAAAGTAAAATTAATAAATATACAAAGGCTTTGCTTGAGTATCGGCTCTTAGCATATATTAACTACAATCCATAATTGTTATAAATAATTATACACTATTTTACATATTTAATAACATAATATATTCTATCTGACAGAGGCAGTACAGAGCCAGTGCACTGTCTCTCGGTATACTACAACGAACTGATCTCAGGAACGACCAATAACCGCATTGGTGTGCACACGTCCTTGGATCAGGACGCCTCCTTCTCCAGCACCAAGCTGCGCTCGGACACATTCAAGGGCGTGCTCACTTGTATGTCAGTGCTGCCCCTTAACAGGCTCTTACTTCTTGGCAGTGATAACGGCACCATCAGTTTGCTTTGCTGATGTCATGCCACTGAAGTCTTACATTGGGTTGGAGTTTTGTATTATATAGGAAAATTCGTTTTTGAAAATTTTTGAATTTGTAGATTTTTTGCTTACAACAGACTTGCATATTAGCTAAAAGCTTATAAAAACTCCGAGCAAATTATATAAATAAGTTTGTAATGTAAATTTTGAATTTTTTAGTTTATGGTAGCATTTTATATTTTGTATGTTTTAGTTGTAGTTTTCTATTAAAAATCTGTAGAGCTGGTCTCGTTATTAGATAGTTTATTTACAAATAATAAGTTAACAGTGTGTATTCTTTGCATGTTAATGCTACCGCAGAGCGAATTGTTATTATTCGACCTTAATAATCGATTATTAGAATGGTTTGAGTTTATTATTATAGTATTGTTAAATATAAGAATTATTTTTAAATTTGAGTAACAATACCTAACTTTTAATATCAGTAATTTATGTATATTTTAATAGATCGTGATTTTATTGCTTTACGTTTATTATTTGGGGACATTAATTGATTTTTTTTTATCGCATGTGAAGCTTTGTGCCTATGATGAAAGTCCTGATTCAATTATGTTTCTTCTCGTAGATTTAATCATTCTGTAATGTTCGACAACGTCCATACTCTTTTCAAACCTAAAATCAATTATAAAAATGTGTTAAATAGATTGTATATAACCTTAGTGTGTGGGAAAATCTTAGATTTAAATAAGACAAAAGACTTAATATCTGTTGGAAACAAAACTAAACATTTCGATTATAAATAACACAAATAAATATATACAGCATAATCTGTTGTTCAAAAGAGAAAATGTAAAACAAATACCAGTAGTATAGACAGATGGTACAACTTTACGATAGTAATTTATATGTGATAGAGAAAACAACAAATACCATTATCAATAAGTTAATAAAAGCTTACATAATTAATAAAATGGGATGAACATTTTGGAACACAATAGTCGGCTCCATACTATATGTATATTTAGTCTATTCTCAAATGGCTATATATAATACATCGTTACGAATATATTTTACACAGTACTGATAAAAGATAAAAATACTAAAACACACCATCCATAATGCAAACTACTCAGAAAATAGGAAGTAAGCGTATCCATTTTACTTTGAATTGGAAATTATTACATAATAAAAACACTTGGAAATTGAAAAACAAATATCTAAGTTAGGTTATATCGTAGTACTATTATTTATTCTGTAGTTATATATAATTTTGATGCCCTTTGTTTGTTCATTCCTTATTCTTTTTTATTTTCTTTTTACAATTAAACTCGGACCGACAAAGATAAATGGACGGAGCGTTGCATACACTTCAAATTAGGCTTTGGAAAGAACACCTTGTGAAAGATTGTTATGTAAGAACACGCACTCATGCATGGTTTTAGGTGCACATATGTGCATTCAGCAGTGGACTTTCACGGACTGTTGAAGAACGAAAGAGGTTGAACGTGGTTTCGGGATCTTTTGACATGTACACAACGCTCTGTCTATCTTTCTTTGTTGATCTGAGTTAATAGGATTCTAGCAACAGGAATTCTTCTGTTTTTCTTCATTTCAAACTCTTATTATTGTCTGGTTTACTTTTAGTAGAGTGTGTAGATGCAGTGAACAAATAAAATGGTAGTCATATTGAGGTCACAGTTAATTTAAGGAAAGTTAAATGCACCGGGTTCGAGTTTAGGGGACGAATCTTCTAGATGATCTCTTCTTGTCTGTATATTTGAACTTAGTTTTTATTATAGGAAGCGACCAGGGTTTTATATCTTTATTTTTACTTGGTGTCATTCCATTTTTGGCAATATAGCAATATATACTATACAAGTTGTTTTAAGTATTACATAATGCATTTTCAACACTATTGTGTACACCATTAAGTATAATTTTTGTTATATGCATTTTAGTATTTACCTTCATGGATTACATTAATTTCTGTAATTTATCATATAAAGTACAAAATTATTGTTACCAAAGACATTTGAGTATGTTAATATAATAATCATCATAATCTTTTAGTGAATGTAGATAACATATTATTCTTTAATTTATTTTAATAAAATTAAAATTGTATTTAATGCATACTATATTGGATACAAAAAATAACACGGGACATAGAATAGTTTTATTTTATATTGTGATATATTAACTTTACATAAAACCGTCTTGCCAGAGTAAACAATTAGATAAGTATATATTAATTTTACGTTATACTATTCCAAACAGTTATCACAGTCATAATACTTATTAATATTTAGACGCTTACTAATAAATAGTCGGTAGGGTAGTATTATAAGTTCCTAATATTAGACAAAGTGAAACGAAATGTTCTTAAGTGAAAATCAATTTTAATTTGCAAACCTTAACAAATTACAAAAATACTGGTCAATGATTAATGTTTAATGTTTACATTTATAATTTAAAAATTAATAATTTAACAACGGTTTTGGTGGTTACGATCTGTAGAAAGTTCTACAAATAATAAAGATTAATAATATACATTTGCATTTATAAAACTTTTAATTTTATCAGCATCACAGTTTACAATTAAACATAATTTAAAATTAAAAAATTTGTACAACCGACTTCAACATTTATTAAGAATAACTCAAAAATTATTGGTGAGACCTTGATCAAATTTATATAAGATCACATGAGAAGCGCCAGCTTTTAAATAAAAAAAGAATCATCGAAATCGGTTCTGCCAGAAAAAAGTTATGAGGTAACACACAGAATAAATATAATTGAGTATCGTCTCCTTTTGAAGTCGGTAGAAAACTCCAGCAGTGAGCAGAATAATAATGTGAACGTACCTTTATATCTATAAATTTAATGAGATTAAATTTACAACTATTTGTAAAAAATAGTAATAAAATTCCAAATCAGATGAAGATATACTTTAATTTAATTAGTAATAGCTAAATAATCTTCTCAAAAATGAGGGAAGACGTGTGTGTGTGTGTGTGTGTGACTGTGGGAGGTATATAATAGGCTTTATTTGCAATTCTTCAGTCTGTTTGAATAAAAATCTAAATATATGTTTTTAATTTTTAATTCTCAATTTTAACTTAAAGGTATGTCCATTTTCTACCGCCTTCAAAAAGGATTAGGTTTATAATTCCTCGGAATCTTTTCTTTTTTTTATACGTATTTACACCAATTACTCGAAGACACCTGAACCGATTTGGTACATTCTTTTACTTCCCAGGTGGTCCCATTTAAATTTTATCGAAATCGTTTGAGTGGTTTTAAAAAAATCAACAATAAATTATATTTATATTGAAGTCGGTTGAACAACATTTTCAATTTTACCACTTATTTTACTAAACTGGATAGGTACTCATCTTTGGATTAAGAACATAACTGGCGAGCTTGAATCGATTTGGACTATTATATGTAATTCTTTTGAATGATTTACTTAACTCTCATTATCTGTGCCAAACACATAGTAAAATTATTATAGAATTCCTTCAATGCGCTATTTTATATTTCGTGATGCACTATGTGTTTTGAACCATCAGCGAGTTAACCGCTGTAACAACAATATTATGATATGTTTTAAATAATCATCTATTATATTTTGAAAGTATTTTTTTTTTTGTAATAAAAGTATTTCTAGATTTTAAATTCGTTTTATTTTTTGAAGTCACCTATTGGGGAAAGAACGTGCCTTTTCCAGTCTCCAATTGATGAAGGAAAGTAAAAAAATATAAGTCGCTAATCTAATATAAGCATCGCTCACTAATAAAAAACTGGATACACAATCAGTGACAAAAATATCCTTACGGAATGAGCGCCCACTCGAACATTTGGGTGCGCTTTTAATTTGTACGTAGCTTTGTGAATACAACTTTAGGCAATGCATTTAATGTTGAATTAACATTAATGTATATTTGTTTCAACTAAAATTACGTCTTTTATTGTGTATCCAGTTTTTTATTAGTGATCAATGTATATAAGAAATATAGCGTCAGTAGCCTAATGGCAAGGCGCGGACCGCGAACTCGAAAGGTCGTGGGTTTGAATCCGCCATTCGACTACTGTCGTGAACCACTTCTAACAAAAGCATTTTTAGCTTACCAGAAGTGGTTAAAGGGAATATTAGTAATGTTTAATAACATTACTAGTAATTTTTTAAAAAAAATATTTGTTTGTTCGTATTTTATACGCTGCTATATCGTTCATCAGATTGCGGTAATACTTTGTCAACTTATTGCTTGCACTTGCGCGAAGGTTATAGGCATAGTAAGCTGGATACATTAATCATTTTTGGTTTAAGATTTTCCCGGTGTTCGGCAAGGCCTTGCCCGAGTTTGGCACTTGGAGAAACTGTTGATTTATTAAGAGAAATCACGATATCGAATCATAAGGGATAATGTATCCTGTGTGTGTTGTAGGAGTCGACAGAGGGAAACTGAAAGAGAAGATGGGAAATATAAAATAGCAGCATCTTCCTGACAACAATTCAAAATAATAAAAAACTGAGGTTATAAACCCGCCTGCCAAGCGTGGTAACTATGGCAAACGGCCCCCTTATGAGACCATCTTTTTTTATAGGATAATGGTGACAAGCGAGCACACAATCCACCTGATGGTAAGTGGTTGTAGTGGCCCATAGACATCTACATCTATCCTCGATTGCGAATCAAAATCCAGATGCGTTCAGTCGTGAGGATTAAGAATTAAGATGGAAATGCCTCTCTTCCAATAAAAAGGGTCTCCGGTTCTATACACTCACCAAACGAAACACAGCAGCATTAATCTGCTATTTTACGCTGGTAGTCTGTGAGAGCGTGGTCCTTCCCCGGTCGTGCGCCGACCCATTCATGCTACAACTATACAATTAATGTAGCTGCAGCGTGGCTCTATCAAGTAAAATGTTTGGGGAAGGCCTATGTTCAGCCGTGGACATTGGATAAACTGTAATGATGATGATGGTATCATTATTAGATATCATAATGGCTCCTCAGTTCAACTGCAGAGCA